ATCCTGGCTTCTATGGAGCATCTGATTGTACTTCTTTTGGCTTATTCTTATTGTACTGGTTTATTCTTTTAGCAATCCACGGCACTTTTGCTATTCTCCTCCAACACCATAGCTCAAATGCATCAATTTTTCTATGGTCTTCTTTATTCACTGTCCAATTTTCGCAAGCATATGAAGTTATTGAAAATACTATGGCTTGAGTCAGGCACACTTTAATCCTCAAACTGAGATCTTTGCTCTTCAACACTTCAAAGAGGTCTTGTGCAAGTTGATTTCTTGACTGCTGCTTCTATGACTGTTGATGGAATGAAGTCTTAGACAACTTTAATCTTTTTTATATTTATATGGATGCTGTTTATTGGTCCAGTGGTGAGGATTTTTGTTTTCTTTACATTGAGATGCAACCCATACCAAAGACTGTGTGGTCTTTGATCTTCATTAGTAAGTGTTTTAAGTCCTCTTCATTTTCAGCAAGCAAGGCTGTATCATCTCCATATCACAGTTTGCTAATCAGGCTTCCTGTAGTCCTGATGCCATGTTTTTTCTTCATATAATTTAGCTTTTCAGATTCTGCCCATAGAATACTTCAATACTATATCTGGAGGTTGGAATTTTTTCTTTAGTTCTTTCCATTTCAAAAATGCTGAACATGATCTTTGCTTTTGGTTTTCTAACTCCAGGTGTTTGCACATTTCATTATAATACTTCTTGAGCTGCCCTTTGAAATTTTCTGTTTGTCTCTTGTACCTCCTCATTTCATCCAGTTTCTTTAGCATCTCTACAGTAGTGAGCAAGTTTCAGAATCTCTTCTGACATCCTTTTTTTTTTTTTAAATGACCTTTTGCTTTCTTCCTATATGATGTTCTTGTTGTCACCCCATGACTCTTCTGGTCTTCAGTCATTAGTGTGTAGTGCCTCAAGTCTATTCTTCAGGTGATCTCTAAATCCAGGTATGATATGTTCAAGGTTAAAGTTTGGCTTATGTGGATTTGTTTAATTTTCTTCAGCTTCAGCCTGAACTTGTAGATGAGCAATTGATTGTTGGTTTTACAGTCTGCCCCTGATCTTATTTTGGCTGGTGATACGAAAAATTTCCACCATATCTTCCCACAGATATAGTCAATTTTACTTCTATGTATTCATTCCATCTGTTGAGGTGCATGTTATAATTGTGTTTTACATTGTTTCAAAAATGTATTTTCAATGAAAAAGTCATTGGTCTTGCAAAATTCTATCATGCGCCCTCTAGCATTGTTTCTATTGCCAAGGTCTTATTTTCCAACTACTGATCCTTCCTCTTTGTTTCCAACCTTTGTATTCCAATCACCTGTAATTGTCAATACATCTTGAATGCATGTTCGATCAACTTCAGACTGGAGAAGTTGGTAGAATTCTCCAATTTCATCATTACTGGCTGTAGTGGTTGATATATAAATTTGATTAACAGTGGTATTAATTGGTCTTCCTTATACGCATATGGGTATTATCCTTTCACAGACAGCATTATACTTCAAGATAGATTTTGGAATGTTCATTTAGGTGATGAATGTGATGCGATTCATCTTCAATTTGTCATTCCCGGCATAGTAAGCATTCTGAATGTCAGATTCAAAAGGGCCAGTACCATCTCATTTGGGCTCATGTTCTTATATTTTATTTTTGACAACCTCCAATTACCCAGAACCATACTTCATATATTCCATGTTCTGATTACTAATGGATGTTTACAACTGCTTCTCCTTATTTTGAATTGTGTCCTATAAGCAAATGAAGGTCTCTAAAACTTTACTCCATTCACATCATCAAGGTCAACCCTACTTGAGGAGGCAGCTCTTTCCAAATGGTATTTTGAGTGACTTCCATCCGGAGGGACTCATTTTTCTGGCACTATCTCTGACAATGTTCTGCTGTTATTCATAACGTTTCTATATTTAATATTCTAGTGTTATCTGGCAGCGTTCCACTGCTATTCATAATGTTTTCCATGGTTAAATATTCAGAAGTGGTTTGCCTTGCTTTCTTCCTAGTCTGTCGTAATCTGGAAGTTCAGCTGAAACCTCTCCACCCAGGGTGACCCTGCTGGTATGTAAAATACTGGTGCCATAGCCACCACAGTATGATAGATGGACAGACAAGTGGTGGTTTCTCTTGATAGTGTCCCACATAAATCTTAGGCTTTCTTCACATTTTTTTTTTAATTATTGTTTCTCTAGCAGATGAATACTGAGAGATTTTTCTTCAATCTCAATAATTCAGCTTTCCATTGATTCAATTCTATTCCTTTGCCCTTTCAATGTGTTATCTATTTCTTAAGTCTTAATGTTAATCTTCTGGCTTTCTAATTGCTATTTTTATATGATTCCTAATTATTCAATTATTTGTCAATTTGTTTATAAAAAATTTCCATAGTTTTGTCTGTTTTCCTTTAGTTCCTCTGTTCTTTTGTCAATCTTTCTCACAGTTCATTGAAGTTGCCTAATTAGCATTCTTTCAAATTCCTTATCAAGTAGGTCAGGTACTATTTCTATAATTATGTTTCTATAATTATAATCTGATTCTGTATTTTGGTCACTTGTTTGAGGTACTCTATCTTGTTTCTTTCATAAACTGAAATTGCCTGTTTTCTCAGAGACGTCATGGCATCATGTTTGTAGCTAGTTGGTGATTGTATATTGGAGTATTCTCAGGCACTCACTACTTGTCTGGTCAATGTGCTAGAGACCAGAATGTGAGCACAATTTTCTGTTCACTGTTTGTGTGTCATAGTTTAGGGCAGGTTCACATGCCTCGAGAAGCAGGATGCTGCCAAGCACCTGATTGCAGACAGAGCAGAGACTGCATAGGAGGGAATGTATCTATCCACTGTGTTGGTGAGGGTGGGGACTGACCACATCCCTGCTACCAGGAGTGCACAGAACAAGGGAGAACTGCACACCATTTCCACCAACCTCCAGCAGAATCCTGTGCCTGCAGGTCACTGTATCAATGTTGTTATTGTTAAGTGCCGTCAAGTCAGTTCCGACCCATAGCGACCCTGAACAGGGTTTCTGAGGCTGTAAATCTTTATGGGAGCAGAAAGCCTCATCTTCCTCCTGCAGAACAGCTGGTAGTTTCGTACTGCTGACCGTGTGGTTCACAGCCCGATTCGTAACCACTACGCTACCAGAGCTCCTTTAATTAATAGCCATTTGCAAAAGATCACGATGGCCACGCTGCTCCACCCTAGCCCACAGTCTGCCTGTTTTTCTTCTTACATTGCTCCTTGATGCTCATGGTTTCAAGATAACCATCTGTATCTGTTTCACTGGGTCCCCCATGCTTTTGTTGCTGAGGTTCAGATCTCTTACTTACTCCGCCATCTTGCCAGGACCAAATGAGCCAGATCTCTTAATGAAGATTGAATAAAGTATCGTCTCCAGACTGCTCACCTTCATCTTTTTCACTAAATCTTTTATGGTGCCCTGATCCCACCCAAGTGCCCTGGTTATACTGTGAGTTCAGTGTTGGGTTGATAACTGAAAGTTTGGTGGTTCAAATCTACCAGAAGCTCTGAGGGAGAAAGCTCAGGCAGTATATGTCTGTAAATATTACAGACTTGGAAACCTTGCAGGGAAGTTCTACTCTGCCATACCAGGTTGCTGTGAGTCCAAATCAACTAGACAGCAATGGGTTTGGTTTTTTGGTTTACCAAGACTTTTTTGATGGGACTTTTTGACGTGGAAAAACTATTAGGTTGGAATTCTCTTTTGGGGCCTGGAGTTGCCTATTGATAAAGAATTCAAGTAGATATACAATTTTTTTCCAATTTTAAATTTCCATGATCCTGTGGGCCCAGTTTTGGATAAATCTGTGTATACTTACTTCATCTATCAGTGGCCTTAACTTGGCCCGTGTTGCAGAACACTGGCCAGCCAAAGAGAATAGCTTGGCAGAGAAATTCCGAGGGCAGGGATTTACTTTCTTATCTAAAAATGGAAGACATGAATCGAGGCCTCTCTTCTCCAATAGTTCCATAAGGAGATCCCTCTAGGAAGAGAAGGAGACAAGCTTATTATATAGAAAAATGACCAAGATACAGATGTAGATAGAGATGAAGAAATTCTTACCAGTTGAATATGTTTTGGATCATCTAACACCACTTTACTACCTGTCAGAACTTCCATTATTACCTACAAGGAATATATAGAAAGTTAGACTATATCTAAAGAATTCACAAATAGTAGTTGCAACTGCTGACCATAACAATTCATATGTTATTTTAATTAATCACTTTAGTTTTATTACTTTATTACACGGAATTTAGTGTCTAAGATATTGAGTAACAGGAAATCAGTAACCTGACGTTAAAGCCCTTTAAAATATTCTTCTTAGAATTTAGATATTCTTGGTGATAAACTCTCCCCCTTTGTTAACTGGTAGTTGGCACTTACAATTCCAAAGCTGTAGATGTCTGTTGCAATGGAAAGTTTTCCCTGTCTGATATACTCTTCTGGCATGTACCACAGATGTTTACTACTGCTGCTGGTCATGTTTATGGTAGAATGCTGATATTCTAGGTGGGGTCGGAAGTGTGCCATGGCAAAATCAGTTATTTTGGGTTGAAACTGATCATCCAAAAGAATGTTCGCACTAAAATTGTGATCAAGCACAAATAAGACAAGAGATCATAAAGATATTTCAGTGAAAAACAACATCACAAGCTCCCTTTCAAGCTGGTTAACACAAAACATTGATAAAATAAAAGAAAACACAATTTCTCATGAACTAGAGGGTATTTAGGAGCTCTGGTAACATAGTGGTTATGAATCGGGCTGGGAACCTTAAGGTCAGCAGTTCGAAACTACCAGCCGCTCCGTGGGAGAAAGTTGAGGCTTTCTGTTCCTGTAAAGATTTACAGCCTCAGAAACCCTGTACAGGGTCGCTATGGGTCGGAACCGACTCCACTGCACATAACAACAACAATAACAGAGTGTATTTACTCATTTTTCTTAGAGAATAAATTCACAAGTTGTAGAAAATAAAAACGTACCCTGGGAATAAGTCATTTAAAATTTGCAGAAGTGGAGCAGTGGTTAAGTACTAGGCTACTCATTGAAAGTTCAATGGTTCAAACCCACCAGCCACTCCACAGTAGAACAATGTACTTCCATAAAAATCACAGCCTAGGAAACCCGTGGGGCACTTCTATGCTATCCAGTAGGGTCACTATGAGTCTGAAACCAATCAGATGATGAGTTTGGCTTAAGTTTGGTTTCGTTTGAAATTTATAGGTAAGATATTTAGAGTTGATAGATAAAGTTGATGCTTGTCAGTAGGAGACAGAAACTAAAGTTGACCAAAACAGCTTTCCTTGAGTTGTTTTTACAAGGAATGAAAACATTAATGATTATTAATACGTTAATCAGTGAAATGTCTGAGTTGTCAAGCATTTCATTCCTCTTGGATCAACAATCAATGTTCACGGAAGCAGTAGTGAAGAAATCAAATCACCTCTTTAAAGTATTAAAAAGCAAAGTCACTTTGATGGCTAAGGTGCACCTGATTCGAGTCATGGTCTTTTCACTCACCACATATGTATGGGAAAGTTAGCTAAAAAAAAAAAAAAGAAAGACCTAAGAACTGATGTATTCAAACTGTGGCAGTGGTAAGGAATACTGACTATACCACGACCTGCCAGAAGAATAAACAAATCTGTCTCGAAGGAAGTCCAGTCCGAATGCTCCTTAAAGACAAGGATGGTGACATTTCCTCTTACTTTGGACATGTTGTCAGAAAGGACCAGTTGCTGGAGAAAGATAACATGCTTAGTAAAGTAGGTCCAAGAAAAAAAGGCAGAACCTCACCAAGAGGATTGACACAGTGGCTGCAACCCAGTGGACTCATGCATATAGCAATGATTGTGAGGATGACTCAGGACCAGACATTTCCTTCTGTTATATGAGGTGCTGTGAATTGGCGTCTATGTGATGGCACCTAACAAAAACACCAACCATGTACATAAAATTGTGCTATGGAATGTGAGGCTTCTCAGCAAGGAGCCACTGACCTGGAGTGATTTCAAGACTCTTAGGTAACCCCTGCCTTAATGGTAACTCTGAGCCCACTCTTCCATCACTACAGCTTTTCTGTCTCCCAGTTTTTTAAACTACTGATATTTGCATAATATAAAGAGTCCATTTAAGCTGTTGTCATGGAAAAACCTTAATAGTCATTTGACATCTTGGCTGAGAGGAAGCATCAAGCTGACTGTTACCCTCAGAAGGGCTACCTTTGGACAGATGGGAAAGGATAAACCAGTAGACACATTTCACCTGACTCATGTCCCAGTTCTCCCTTTCCTCACTGTGTGACTGCAGGTGGGTCATCCCATAAGCCTCTAGTTCTTCTTTCCTCACATGTGAAATTGAGGAAAACAATACAATTTATAGGACTGAAACGAACAGTTGTTGTTCGGTGCCATTGAGTCATTTCTGACCCATAGCGACCCTATGCACAACAGAACAAAACACCGGCTGGTCCTATGCCACATCCTCACGATTGCTGCTACACTTGAGACCATTGCTGCTGCCGTCTTGTTGGGGGAATCCCTCTTTTTCACTGATCCTCCACTTTATCAAGCATAATCTCCTTCTCCAGGCTCTGGTCCCTACTGGTAATATGTCTGAAGTATGAGAGGCCAAGTTTGGCCATCCTGGCTTCCAAGGAGCATTCTGGACAGTAGAACGTGTAGTCTAGAACTTAATGCTCAATTAAAGGTAGATAAATGACGACTGCGGGGCACAGGTGGTTCACCAATAGAATCTTGACTTTCATGTGGAGATTTGAGTGTGATTGTCAGCGAGAGTACTTCCTGTGCTCACACCACCCGTCTGTCAGTGGAGGCTTGTGGGTAGTTATGATGCTGAACAGGTGATGCTACTGCATTTGATATCTTGACTGCTGCTTCCATGGGCGTTTTCAATGGAACTTCTAGACTAAAATGGATTTGGAATAAAGGCATGGCGATTACTTCTGAAACTCATCCAATGAAAATCCTATGAATTACAACAGCCCAATCTACAAAGGATTATGGGGATGGTACAGGACTGGAAAGCATTTCATTCTTTTGTTTGTGGGGTTGGCACGAGTCAGGGGCTGACTCAAAGGCAAATAATAACATAAACAAAGATGACAATGACTGAATAATCATAAGAGAGGAGATGGATATTGATAGAGGAGTGGGGGGGCGGAGATAAATTTTCCTTCTTCCCAGTTTTCCTCGGTGCTATTCAAAGCTTTTGTCCCAAAGCAATACAGACTTTCTTCTCACTAAAAATAATTTCTAGGTCCACCCACTCACCTAAGATGGCAATAAGAGTAATTGTTGTACTACAAATTATGCACTGTTATTTGGAGTCCTGGTGTGGAGTAGGACAAGCACTGGGCTTCTAAACACAAGATCAGTGGTTCAAGCCCACCAGTCTCACCTTGGAAACCCTATAAGGGTCATTATGAGTAGGAAGTGACTCAACTACATTTAACAACACACTGTTATTAAAAAATGGTAGTTACTACTGGGTTAAGAACAAGAAATTCTCAATCCTGAAGTCAACACTGGATCTTAAATGGTTCCAGAAATCCTTGCTTTCACTGTATGAACAGGCAAATAGGCAGGTTCAAAGCTCTGAATTGGAGGGTTAGTATTCAGAATTGTTGTTGTAAGGTGCTGTCGAGTTGGTTTTGACTTACCGCGGTGCCATGGACTGGGCAGAACTGCACCATAAAGCTTTCTAGACTATAATCTTTACTGCGTGGGTTCAAAACACCCATCTTTCCTTTAGTAGCCAAGTGCTTAGTCACTGAACTACTGTGGCTCCTTATATTCAGAGTACTCCACTTTTTAAAGAAATTCAGGTCTGGGGGAGTCCTATATGCTGCCCAAAAGCTTGGGTCTGATATTCTGAAGTGATTAAGTCTAATTTACAAACAATCCAGATAAACCAAGAAAGAGAAAAGCTTTTACTACAAGAGTCGACTAACGGAACACCTACAGCAAAGGGGTGCCTATGTGTTTGAATGATGCTTTGTTACAAGCACTTTTGATAAGGTTGGGCACATACGACATGCAGAGGGAGCTACAATGCTAACACACACTAAAGGACAAGGTGGTCACGATGCCCAAGAACCATCTCAAAGGAGGGCATGATTAACTTTCTCGGTACCATTCATCAGAACAGGGAACAGACTTCAGGCAGGCCACTCAATTATTAATATTACAACTTAAAATAGTCAAAACATACATTAAAGAAATAAGGTCAAGTTGGAGATGGGGGAGCAGGTGTAAAATGCTTTCAGGCAGTGCTTGATTATATTTGCTTAGCTAAGCAAAATACATATGCTTTCAAAATAGCTGCAGTTAGGATCTACATATGAAGGCCTCTATAATTTCAGTCCAGACTTTGTCTAAGATTGAGATATCAACCAAAAAAATTCAATGACTCCCAAGAACCCTTTAAGAATAGAAAATAACACATTTTAACTTTATTTGGAACAGCTCCTAGTGGCTCAGTGGGTTAAGCATTGGGCTGCTAACCAAAAGGTTGGTGATTCAAACCCCCCAGCCCCTCTGTAGGAAAAAGATGAAGCCATTTGCTTCCATAAAGATTTACATCCTCAGAAATCTCTACACAAGAAAGCAGTTCTACTCTGTCTTACAGTCACTATAAGCTGGAAATGACTCCATGGCAGTGGGTTACACCTTCTTTTATTTTACTTGGATCTACAATTAACACCTATGGAAGCAGCAGTGAAGAAATCAAATGAAGTATTGTGTTGGACAAACCTGCTGCTCTTTAAAGCGTTAAAAAGCAAAAATGTCACTTTGAGGACTAAGATACACCTGACCCAAACCCTGGTATTTTCAGTGGCCTCTTATGCATTTGAAAACGACAATAAGTAAAGAAGACTGAAGAAGAATTGATGCATTTGAATTGTTGTGTTGGTGAAGAATACTGAAGGTAGCGTGGACTGCCAGAAGAACAAACAAATCTGTGTTGAAAGTAAGGATGATGAGACTCACGTACTTTGGACATGTTATCAGAAAGGACCAGTCCCTGCAGAAGGACTGGCAAAGTAGGGGGTCAACAAATAAAAAGGAAGGTCTTCAATAAAATAGATTGGCACAGTGGCAGCAGCAATGGGCTCAAGCATAACAATTGTGAGGAGGTGTTTTGTTCTCTTGTGCAGAGGGTCGCTATGAATTGGACCTGAGTTGATGGCACTTAACAACTTTTATTCCTCTAAGCATGGCAAGAGAATAGAATGATCCAAAAATCCTATCTTATCCTTGCTGGTACTGTGATCCTTGAATTTATGGGGAGAGAGTCCGAGAGGCCCCAAGACATCTATTAATAAGCACAATTCTCACTCTTCTTACCTTATCATTTCTCTCCAGATAGTGCAAACCTAGCAGCGACTGAAATCAGCTTGGATCTCACTCATCCCTCGCCATTCATTTCCTCATTTGGAAAAGTGTGGACTATCCTGACATTCCTTTCAAGGTGAGGACTCACTGGAGTCAGATCCTATCTTCCCTTCAGTGCTAGACAAGAACAGATGTTTAGTTCATAACTACTTCCTCCAAAGATGTA